TAATCCAGCGGTACAGACGGATTATCCTACAAGTACCCAGGCTCAGATGAAGTGATATCTAACCGAAATAACAGACTCTGTGCAAAAAGGAAAATTGGTTTCAGGAGATCTCATGGCTTTGGCATATGATCAATGTGAACTTGGCACTATTAATAATAAAGAGGTACAAGGAAATGAAGTGGCCAGCAACTTTCGCTCAGTGTTAAATCTATTACCAACAAAAGCCTATATCACGGACATGCTAAGAGGCCTGGAGGAAAAGATACACAGTGATGTTATTTCAATTAAGGTAGAATTGGTCAAACTGGGAAGGAGAGTGGCTGATTTAGAAGACGAAAGAGATACAACCCTCAATGAGATACTGCAATTAAAACAAGTCACACAACAAGAACAGCAAATATCATTACTTCACAGATACGTGGAAGACCTTAATAATAGAAGCATACATAATAACGTCAGAGTAAGAGGTGTATTAGAAAAAGAAGGCCCTGAAAATATTACTCAGATCCTGACAATAATCTTTAATAGAATTATGGGCAGACCAGAAGATTCTACTATAGCATTTCATCATGCTCAAAGAGTGCAGAAAATAAGCGCAGTCGCTAAAGATACACCATGGGACATTGTTTGCAGGTTGCATTATTTTTCTTTTAAAGAAGATTTGTTAAGGAAAGCCCAGGCAGGCTCATCGTAAATGTATTGCAACCAACCTATTGCTATCTTTCAAGAACTTTCATGATCTACATTACAAGACAGATGAAGTCTCTTACTGAATCTCTGACTGCTAAAGGGCTTAGATACAGATGGGATTTCCCCCTTAGCCTGACAATCATACATGAAGGTAAAGTGTATACTGTTACATGTCCACAAGATATACCAGTGATGGCCACACAACTCCAACTACAGATACCAGAGATCCAGGCTTGGCATGGAGACCTCCAGGCCCCTACGAAATTATCACAGAATCAGCGGTGGTCTACGGTATCGCAAAAATGGAAGCAGAGTTCAAGTTCTTCAAACATCTCAAGAATAATACCACATACACCTGACTGATTTATAGGTAAATTATATATTTTCACTTACCAATCCTACTTCAATCCCTTTTTATCCTATGACAAGTGCCAATCTATGTTGCTATGATAATTATCCTATAACTGTGCATGGTAACCTCAATATCCTTTAGAGGAGCTTTAATCTGTATAGTAGAACAAATCTAAATGAGACTGTATGCTGTTGATACTCTGAGGAACACACTGGGATACTATGGGCACTGGGATACTATGGGTAGAAATACGCTTAATGGTCATGCTATGGGATTATGGATCTCTTTCTGAAGAATAGAAATAATAGTAATTAGGTGGGGGAATTACAAGGGACCACTCAACTAATTCAATTTAAGCAACTTAGTTAAGACTGGAAAGATGAAGGTGGGGAAAGGGGGATGAATATGCTTTGATATGCTTCATATCAAATAAATATGCTTATAATGTTGTTTCAGTTTAAGTTTCTATGTGTTTTTCACATTTTTTGTGTTCTTTGTGTTTTTCATTACTTTGTACCAGGGGATAAGAATTCGATGGAATTTACATAATTGCATATAATATATCAGAGTTTGCAGGAATCTATGATCTGCAAACTTTCTTTGTCTTAGGGATGAGCATAACCACCTAGCAAAGCTAGTGGGTATGCGGCAGCCTCCCGGAGTCAAATGCCAGAGCTGAAAAGGCTCGCACTGTGCATCTGCACAGCAACAGTCTTTCAGCCAATCAGGTGATCAGGAGAGCCGTGCTGAGCGCGGGAATCCTGATTACCTCGGATTTTTAAAATTGGGAAACTGCGGATGGTTAGCACATCCCACGAAGTACGAAGGATAAATATTTCCCACAGTGTACAGGGATATAATTAAACATCTAAACACAAAATAAAACAATTCAAGTTGCCCATAGTACAGGGGAACAAGAAAAATGTTTAATGAATCATGAAGATATACAAGATAGACTTGAAACTTTGTATAAAACAGCTGGCTGAAAAACAAGGCAACAATGTATAGCAAAGGAAGGTATCAAATGAACACTGGTATCCTTCATCATAAATTGCAACATATAAGTTCAATAAAGAGAAAAGAAATGTTGTAACAAGTCCCAGCAAACAGATTCTTTATGCAGGGAGTCCATGAGAATATCAAACTGACGAGACTACTAGCATCCAATCCTCCTACTTAGGTGGATCCTTGGTTTGTTGGTCTTGTCTTGGAGTACGGTTATAGTCTGTAAAAAACAAAACAAAGAACAGTTATCAAAAGGCTGAATAAGCACCAGATAACCTTGTGTTTTAGAAAAAAAAAAAAAACTACCACCAGCAGGCAAAACCCTTAACTTGGAGGAGGGTGGGACGGGCGCTATTGCTAGGTGGTTATGCTCATCCCTAAGACAAAGAAAGTTTGCAGATCATAGATTCCTGCAAACTCTGATTAGTCCTCTGGGAGGCATAACCACCTAGCAAAGCTAGTGGGTAGAATAGCACACACCTGGTGGTGGTCCTAAGAAACTGAAGGCGTTCAACTTCTGATGGCCTCCACTAAAATATAACAAAGGTTTTACTGGACAACCATCTCGCAGCTTTCAAGATAGTAGGGAGAGGAAGGCCCTTCCCTGCTGCTTTAGTAGCCGAGGCTCCCCTAATTGAATGGCTTTTGAACACAGAAACATCAATTCCAGCCGAAGACATGGCGGAAAGTATCCAGCCTCTAATAGTATTAACCTTGGCTGGACGAAAGGGATTCCTTGATGTAATGAATAATTGATTGATATCTTTTCTAAATACAGCAGAAAGTTAAAGGTACGATTGTAACAAACTGACTAAACATAAGCCTGGTTCGGAAAGATCTTGCACCAAGTCCAATTCTACCGGACCAGGAGAAAAATGGGATGTTTTTTGTCTGCCTTTTAGTATAATATGGAAACCTCCCGGGGTCCTGGACAACCAAGGGTCTGAAATATGGATTTGAGTTAACTCTGCTCCTCTAGCTGCCAGGGCCAAGGACAGCAGAGAAGCCAACTTAATAGCAGTCCATCTTAAATCAATTTTAGCATTATCCAAAGACTTTAGGAAATTTAATAAGACATCTACATCCCAAGTAGATGTGTAGCGTGGGGTATATGGGCGGCAGACGGATAACTCTTTTAGTAATCTCAAATACAGGGCATCCTGAGTAAGGTTGGGGATCAGGAAGTTTAAAGCAGATCCATATGTCTTGATTGAACTGACAGATAAACCAGAATGGAACTTAAGGGTAAGAAATTCTAAAGCCAATGGAACGGTATCGGATCCTTGTGTGTTAGACAGAAAAGAAACCTCCCATTCTTTGAATTCCTCGATCATCTTTCTATATCTTACCCTAGTTCTACGTCTTAAAGATGAGTTAATAATATCCAAGACCTGATCCGATAAAAGAGGATGTGTTAACAGCCTACGAGGGCTGCGATCCAAATCAGCCCTTGAGCAGGAGATCGCTGGTTCCCTGAAAGCAGTCCACTGTCGTGCCCAATGGGATCTTGGTTCCCTTGACTAACTGATGGATCAAGGGATACCAGGGTCTGGAGGTCCATACTGGATAAACGAGAACTAAGCTCTGCACCCTGTCCCTGCGGATCTTCTCCAGCACTTTCATCAGTAAAGATGGAGGAGGGAAAGCATAAGGGGCTGGAACATCTGTCCATTGGAAAGACATTGCATCCATTTTCCAAGCTCCCTTTGTCCAGGTCCGGGAGACGAACCTGGGAGTTTGTGCAGATGTTTGGGATGCAAACAGATCTACCTGTCTCTGGCCAAAATTGCTTTCTATCCATTGGAAAAGAGCAATCTTTAATTGAATTGTTGCCAGGGACAAACTTTGGCGAGAGAGAGAGTCTGCAAGCTCGTTCGCCTCTCCCGGAACATATTCTGCGAAAACCTGAACATTGCTTGCTAAGGCCCAGGACCAAAGATCTAGAGCCTCTAAACAAAGACCCCTTGATCTTGTGCCCCCTCTGTGGTTTATATAAGCCATCGCTGTCCTGTTGTCCGATTGGACTTTTACCAACGTCGGTGACAGGTTTAGAGGAACTAGGCCCTGGAGAGCTAATTTTATAACTCGTAACTCCAAGATGTTTATATGGAGAAAACTCTCTTGGTCTGACCAAATTCCTCTTAAGGCATTTTGGGCTGTAAACGCCCCCCAACCGTGACTTGAGGCATCTGACGTCAGAGTGACTGCCACAGGCTGCTCTAACAGGGGACGGGTAAGTGGAATTTCTAACTCCAGAATGGACTTCAATTCTTCTCTGACATTCTTGGGGAGAACAAATTTTGATTCCCAATGGCCGCCCTGTCTTAGTCGGTTGCCTAAAAACAGCTGACTTCTCCTGCAAAGTAAGGGGGAATTGTTGTATGCTGGTGTTAAAGCTATTAATTTCCCGATAATCTTTGCTAGGTCTCTCAAGGACCAACTCTGGTGCCTGAGAGATGAGTTCAGATGTACCAGTAATTTGTCCCATTTGTCTTGAGGGATTCCTAGAGACATAGTCCTGGTGTTCAGTATGAAACCCAGAAAGAGGATGCTTTGAGTGGGAATTAGGACTGATTTCTGTAAATTTACTACAAATCCTAGGTCTTGTAAAAGGGAAGCAAGGTAATCCCTCTGAGAAGCAAGGGCTTCCCCATCTGGGTGCATGAGTAGGATGTCGTCTAGATAGTATAGACACATGAAACCTTTTTGTCTGACATGAGCTATCACTGATTTCATAATTCTGGAGAATGTGTATGGTGCGTTGGATAGGCCAAACACCATAACGGTCCACTGCCACACTTTCCCTTTCCACTGAAACCTCAGAAAACGCCTGTGTTTCTTGGCTATGGGGACTGAATGGAAGGCATCTTTTAGGTCTAACTTTATGCAGAAAAAAGCTTTCTGTACTAAGCCTGGCAGATCTGATAAACCCTCCATCCTGAACCTTTTCCTTTTAAAGAAAGCATTCAGAGACCTCACGTTTAGGACCGGTCTCCAGGAACCGTCTGATTTTGGGATTGGGAACAATGGGCTGACCCATCCTGTAATAGACATGTCTGCCAACTCTATTTTCCCTTGACTTAAAGCTAAGGAAAGGGAGGCATCTAGCACTGGGTTCACCTTTCTGTGGGGTGCAAATTTCTGGACTTGGAACCTTAAAAGGGGGAGTTGTAAACCCCTTTGAAAAATCTTTAGAACCCATTTGTCTGAGGAAATATCCTTCCAATTTAGTGGCATATGAGGAGGCACACTTACTTGAATGCATGGGTTTTCTTTTGGAAGCTGAACCGCCTCTGGAATGCACTCCTCTGCCACCGCTTGGGAGTTTGTGTCTTCCACTGTAGTGGCGGTACTGGGCCTGGTGAGAGGCTTCTCGGGACGCTCCTGCAGCCCTATAGGGGCGCCCCTCTGTCCGAAAGGGCTTTTTGTAGCCAGGGACGGACTTCTTGAGTTCTGAAAAGGATCTCCTTGCCTTGTAACGGCCTTTAACCTCCTGAATGAACGAGGGACCGAATAGGTAAGAATCCTCCAAATTTGGGAACTCATGCGATTTGGGGGCTAGGTCGGACAGACCTGCTGCATGGAGCCAGCGGGATCTGCAGATGTTAGATATGTAATTAAAGGATTGGCCAATAATTAGCACTGCCCTGCCAGACACTTTTAAAAGGGCCAACTTAGATGCAGGGCCAGTGCTTGGAGTTTTAGGTACATAGGCGAAGATGCATTTTTCCGCCCCCCCCCCCCAAAAAAAAAAACCATCTTCACCTATGTGCCTTTTAACCAGCCCCTCTCCCCTCCCTGACCATTAGTAGTCCCTTCCCTTCCCTGTCCCTTAGTGTTCTTCTCCCCTCCCCCCTCTTTTCCTATAAGAGATAGGCTATAAACGTATCACTTGGTATCATACACCGCAAAAACTGCATGCCTGGAATCCCGAAACATCGCAACTGTGTTGGAGGTGCGGAATAGCTGTTGGTACATTCCTTCACATATGTTGGCAATGCCCACAGATACAAACATTTTGGGGACTGGTAGTACCGTTGACTCGTTGATTTCCGACCTACCCATTTCCTTGAATCCAGAGGAAATATTACCTCTATATCAATTAATGAACTACGGAAGACATGTTTACCATACCTATTATTAGTGGCTAAAACATTGATACCTATGTATTTATAAAATAATTTATATTCCCACCATGGCCGAATGGATAAATAGTAAATATGGAAGAATTATCCGGATATTAGGAATTATCCTATAATATGGAGGCCATGGTTAGAATATAGAACTAAGGTAAAGGGAATAGGAGAAACAATTAATTAGGAAGTACCTAGATTAACTGAGTATCACTTCATAAATAAGAGGCAATAATTGGAACTAATATAAATTGTTGTAAAAAAGAAAAAGAAAGAAGGGCTAAATGCCTATTTAGCTTAAATAAGTGGAATTATGTAATAACCCTGGTTATTCATTATCCTTTTTTTTCTAGTATGTATTTATATTTAATTACATTTAAAGTGAATTATTAAATATTTGTGACATACTAAATATTAATATATTTTGAATATATAGAGATTGAACAGAAAAATTTCTGTGATTTAATTAAGTACAAAGAATGTATTTATTTAATGTATATATTGGTTAATACTTTATTGTATCATCTATAAAAAAACATAAAAAATACGCAGCCTGGTCAAAGAGAAGTCCAACTGCTGTATTTTTCTACTATTCTTCTGGACAATGTCTCCGCCGTCTACTTGGGGGACACCAATTTCACAGCAGACTTGTTCTCTCGCCACTGGCAAGACAACAGTGACTGGCAATTGAACCCCTGACTATTAGTGAATTTTGATGGGCAAAGGGGACCACTACAACTGGATCTCTGCGCATCCCGCACCAACCACCAACTACTGGTCTTTTACAGCTGGTTACCAGACCTGGAGAGTGCAGCGGTGGATGCATTCCTGCAGAAGTGGCCACTCCGATGGGCCTACGACTTCCCTCCATTTGCGATGATAGCAAGATTCCTACATCACATTCGCCTTCAGAAGGTGAACATACTCTTGATGACCCAGTGGTGGTCGAGCCAACCTTGCTTCCCAGATATCCTTGCTCTCTCCTATGAGCATCCTCTTCTCCTGCCGGATGACCCCCTACTACTCAGGGACCCAGGAAGAAACTTCATCCAATATTACAAGACGGATGCCTCTCTTTAGTGGCTTGGAGTCTTTCAGGGATTCCTGAAATATCAAGGAATTATCGCCAGCAGCTAGGGACCTCTGTGACGAGACCAATCTCGCCACTGTGCATTGGAGGAGCCTGGTTGCCCGCCTGCTGCCTTTAGACTATGTCCCCATGTCGAAACACTTGATTTTCCCCTGCAGAGACACGAAAGCTGGGTCATTCGGTGCTGGCCCTGTTTGAGCGGTGATACCCCAGATAGCTATGCCATGGAGCCCATTCGTATAATGAAAGACTATGGGAAAGACTTTGGCTCCATGGCAATTGAACTGTATGTGTGTGCTCTGAGCGCCATTCAGTAATAATAGTGATGTGATGTCGCGAACCCGAAATTTTCGGTTCGCGAACGGCGAACGCGAACTTCCGCAAATGTTCGCGAACCGGCGAACCGCCCGAAACGCCATTGACTTCAATGGGGAGGCTAATTTTAAAACACACAGGGACTCTTTCTGGCCACAATAGGGATGGAAAAGTTGTTTCAAGGGGACTAACACCTGGACTGTGGCATGCCGGAGGGGGATCCATGGCAAAACTCCCATGGAAAATTACACAGTTGATACAGAGTCTGGTTTTAATCCATAAAGGGCAGAAATCACCTAACATTCCTAAATCACAATCAATATGGATTGACACCTGACATATGACATATTGACACCTTGACATATGGATTGACACCTGTCCTCAGAGCCCCTGATACACACGGACACAGAGCAGAATAGGGACTGGTCCCCCTACATCGGGTCACTTGGCAGATATGGATTGACACCTTGTTACAAACTGCTATTTGTAACGGGCCCTTTAAATGGCAAATTGCCCTGTTTCCCTGGGTTGTGGAGAAGCCTCTTTGCCAGCCTCCTCCCGCATGACTATGGCCCCTGGGAGATTGTGAAAATGTATGCACTTTTATTTGGTGTGTATGGCCCTTTAAGACTGTCGGTGGGCATATTGGGGCTTATGGACTCTTTATGTGACTGGTGCTGGCCCTTTAAACACCTTTTTTGGGACATCAGGAAGATTGGGACACTGCCCCTTTAAGGCCGTGTCCCCAGACTTGTTGGGGACACGGCCCCTTTAAGACGGTGTCCCCTGTGTCCCCAGACCTGGTGCAAACCCTTTGTGCCTGCCTTGCTATTTCCCACTTGGTTCAGTAAATGGGAAATTATTTCAGCTGCAGAGACTAAGTCCCATTCGGCGATGGGACTTAGTCTTTTTTTCAGCCGTTTTCTTCAGCCTTATTTCAGCTGCAGAGACTAAGTCCCATTC